CTCCCTTTTGTTAGTATCATTGTTGATGGCCATCACAATATCTTGCATACTTCCTTGGATTACTAAAATTATCTGAGGACTAAACAGGTTCAGCCATTACTGCTCATGGTGGGCTGCTCTTAAACTGAACGAAGAAGAACTTCTATAAAGTATCCTTCAAGTCAAGCTTAACCATGGGTGACTTCATGGACGCAACTATGGAATTTTCTTAAAAACAGTACAGAAATGCTGCCCTTCAGAGATGTTTCTTCAACTACCTTATAGGCTTGAAGTTTCCTAACAGTCTTCTATACAAGACATGTTCAGGGCCACCAACAACCACCACCTTAGCTTTTCAACATCAGCTTGGTGCTACCATCTCAACTGTTAGGGCTTTTATTCTAGGCAGCCTTCTCTAGTCATGTAAACTTAATTATGATTACATTAATTGCATACAATTAATAAGATTCATGACCATCTGAGAGTTCAGTGACTTCAATCATAACTATTCTCAGTGGGCCACTCTAAAATTAAACTAAGAAGGATGAAATAGCCACCATCCCAAAATACATCCTTCAAGTCAAGATCCTGGCAACTTCATGGACATCTCCATGTAGTATTCATGGTGGCAAAACAGGCCACTGCCTTCCTGTAGGATGTTTTTTCAACTTCCCAGTCTAGACTACAGCCCTGGGATTACCTGATAGTCTCTCATCCAAGGAATAACTAGGCCTTTTTGGCTTTTTGGAGCCACCAAAGGCTATGAGAGAGCAAGCAGTCTAAATCCCTTTCTTCCATTTAGCTTCATACTACCAAAGCAGATGAGGCCAAGAGGTGGAAAATTGTAGGGCCTGGCCTGATTATTTTCATGCTTCACAGGCTTATTGCAAAACACCTTGGAAAGTAATCAATTCATGTCTTCTGCCATTCTGCCCCACAACAGTCCCTGGAATGGAAAGGGAGAGAGGAAACCAAGGGGGTTGAGGGACGTGGGCATGGGGAAACGGATGGAAAGTGCGCCACCACAAAAGAAGGTGGGATGGGTGAAAAGTGGTGACTGTGAAAAGAGGTTGGCCAGATGTAAAGGGAGGAGTTGTGAAAAGTGGGTGGCCCTGTCTATTTTTAGTTCTGAGCTCATCAATCACAAGTGTTATCTCCGACTCTGCCCCCTTGCAAACCCCAACAGATTCTAGGCAGAAAAAGAAGAGAACAGCACATTTCTTTCTCCAGGAGCTTTAATTCCTGCCTACAACATCCCTTGGAAAACACTGAGATGGGCTTTTCCAAGAAGTTAAAGAACATAAGAAAAAAAGGGGGATAGTTGAATATGTCCTTTAATTTCCCTCAGATTACTATAATTGCATTAAGAAAAACTGTAATTTCATTAAATGACATAATTACCATTAATTCACTGCAAGCTGTCGATAGAAGGGGTAATTATTCTGGAAAAAAAATCATAAGCAGGATGTGCAATGAAGCACAATTCCTCACAACAGCCATTCAATGTTTAAAATTAACCTTTAATTTTTTTGAGGGGGGAGGGGGAGAGAAACATGAGTTATGCAATGGTAGGTATTGGCTCCATAAAGCAGGCTTACAGTTTCTAGAATGAGATCCTGTAGAACAGGAACACGGGTCTGTAGAAATGTCTTTTAAGCCATCAGTAAGATTGGTCTCAAAAAGGTAGCCTGAAGGTTTATCTTTTGTCTTCTCCCCTATGATGGCCCAGCAGAATTAATGCAGTAATCAACGGTGTGCCAATGTTATTTATTACATGATTAAATATCACTCTTGCCATTTCTTTTAAAAAAGAGGCTTCTGCAAAAGAACCTTCTGATTTTCTACTTCTTTCCTTGGAAATTTCTTTCCAGTTTTTCTTGGTGGAATTTCTGAGCTCATTTGACTCTGGGAAGTGACAGAGAGTCTGCTACCACAGACGTTACTTTCTGTCGCTCCTCATTCCGTCCCTCTGCAGCTTCCGTGGCTATCCCCAATCCCCCTTATGAAAAAGCCCCGTAGGTTTCTTCCTGAGAACATCCCTCTGAGAGTTAGCAGAAGAAGTGTGGCCGGCACTTGAGTAATCGGAAGAAAGACAATGTACACAGCTTGGCCGCCCTGTCACTCCCTCTAGGAGAACGTCTCCAAAATTCTCTCCTACCTAGAAAGAAAGGTTGAAGCACTCTTGCTTCCCCCCCATCAGAATGAGAACGGCTACGGGGAAAAGAAGTGAAGTATAATTTCTCAGCACAGCTATAATTGTAGTTCCACACAGTATAATTTGGAAGATAAAAGAGATCCAAGAATGCTCCTGGTTATTTAGCTTGTAGTAGCTAAGTGACATAACGCTGGGTTTGAGAACTCGCAGTCTTTCTCCGTCCTGCCAAGTCTTCACATGTATGGCCAAAGGCTCACTTAGAGTTCAGCTTCAAAGATGAGCAGTTCATTTTAAGGAGCAAAAAGAGATATTTGATACAATTGCTTTATTCCATCAGCCAGTTATTGCCTGCTCTGACAAGCTCCCCAAGATCATTTAATTAGAAATGCTTGCCAACCTGTTATAAACACAGCATGGATTTGTTCCCTTTTTAATCATCTTTTCCTGCAAATCGCTTCCTATTCCTTTTCACTTTTCTAAACATTTTTTTTTCCTCCTACTTTAAGCTTTGAAAACTCAGAAAAAAGTGCTTTGGAACTTAAAGTTCTTCAGGTATTTGTCTCTCCCCACAGTTCATTTTAGAAGCTCTGAAATCTTCCAGGGGCATAAAAGTGTTTTTTTTTAAATAATATTAAACACACCATTCTTTAATTTTCTTTTTTAAATTTAAGCTTATACAATCTGGTGTGTTGCCAGGTGCACTGAACTAAACTTCTTCCCTCCCAAAGGCAGGAAAAGAATTTCTAAAATAATTTCCATTCCTGGGATTCCTTTCAGGAAGCTGTAAATTATTCACTTAACAACAATACCTATGTTTTGGCTAAGAAGTGGTATGTGTGCGTACACAAACACCCACACACAAACATATATGGGTATTATCCTAAGCCATAATGCGGTTAGTTTGGTTTTGGTTGAGCAATGTTGCATAAGCCTAGCCATTGTAGTTTGCCCCCCCCAAAAAAAGTTTATGGACTCTGTGAATCCAGCAAACTTGGCTTATTCAATAAAGGCTGTAGATTTATTCTTTAAAATGGCAACCTATTTTAGACACTTTAAGAGGACACTGTATATTATATATTCAGCTTTTCTTTTTTTTAAGGGAGATTAATTAAGCAATGATATTTTGACTGTATACTTTCCAGATACTCTATTTGTCATAGCAGCATTAATCCAACATTGAATCTACAAGAGATTAAAAAGCCACAACTCTTCCCAATAAGCTGATTTGTTTTCCTGCTGAAGAAGTTCTTTGGGGATTGGACACTTTATCAACACACTTGCTTATTAATAGTTGAGTCATGGGTACCATTTTTCATTTACTGAATATTCAATTAAGTAGTGATAAAGATTTATAAACTCTAAACAATCACAGTGCTAGGCTGACAGAAGACACCTGGCCATCTTTACTGTAACGTTTTTCAGAGAGGTCCATAAAAATAGGATGTTCTATATGGATATCCTAACAGGAGGAACAAGCAAGGAACATGTTTTATTGTTTCAATTTCTCCAAGAAATATAGAGCCATAAAAATCTCCCATCCCATTCCTTCCTCTTAGGGATGTTTAGACTCTAGAGTCATGTTTCCCAACCTTGACAATTTCCTGATGTGTGGCCTTCAATACCCAGCATTCCCCCAAAGCATGGCCATTGAAGTTGAATGCTGGGAGCTGACGTCCATACATCAGAAAGTTCCCAAGGTTGGAAACATGGCTTTAGAGATACCTGGCTGGCAAACTGGGCCTGATACGATGCTACCTCAAGAAGAAAAATAAGTCTTACTAGTTATTGGGCCATCTCCCCCACTGGGGGGAGATGGGCGAAGATAAATTTAATAAATAAATAAATAAATAAAGTATTGAATAAAAATTCCAAACATTTCAATCTTTTCACCAGAAAGTCCACAAGAGATGGTGACATCAGGAAAAGGTTGCTATTTGTTAAGTGACACTTATTTTTATTTGTTAAGGCATACATCTCCTTCACGTACAATATCAGGTACCCAGCCCCTGAAAAGCTGATCTTGCTGTAATGTAATGGCCAGAAGCTGAAATTGTTCAAGACTGCCTTTTCTTTATTGTTAATCCTACATTATTTGTATCTCCCATGATTACCCCTCTTCTTTTATGAGATCAGTTCTCAGAAATCTCTAAGAAGATTGCAAATTTCCTATCAGCAGCCGTTTGTTCTAGAAATCACCCAGAGCATCCTTAACATTATAAACTTTTCCAAGTTTTTTAATGTAATTTTATTTTATTTTATTCGTCATGCTTGCTGTGTTTTGCTTTTAGAATTCTTCTGGGGCCATGAATAAATAAGCAAGTAAATCTCTCATATGTTTTGTGTTACTGCATTGTTTTCTTTTTTTTTAAAAAAAAGGGTACTGTTTTAATTCCTGCATCAATGTATAATGATAGAAGCCGTCTTGAATTTTGAGAGGAAAAAATAATCGAACGGGCAAATTGTAAAAGGGGCCAGGGTTTATTGATTGATTTAGAACATTTGCATGGCTACCCAACTCAAATGACAACACTCTGGATAATGCATATGAAGCACGGTTTGGTTTTCAGTCACGTTTGGGGCAATTCTATGGGGCTAAATAAATGGGCCAAGACCTGGCAATAGCCAAAAAAGAAAAAGAAAGAAAAAAAAGCAGGGGGACAGAATTCAGCTTCCTCCCCAGATAAAAGGTTCAGCAAAAGGACAGAAGTGTTTTCAGCTCCATCCTTGTTTAGGTCTTTGCATCATATAGATCTTCTCTCAAGACATATATTACTCCAGCCAAAAGCAGCAGTTCAGTTGTTATCTAATTACAAAGGCCTCTTAAAGAAAACACATTTAATTATGTGTGTGAATTAATCCCACTCACCACAAAAGCTATCAAGCTTCTTATGGGAGATTCCCAGAGAAAGCAGCTTCGAAGGAACTGTATTGTGTTCCAAATTGCCATGGAGATTCTTTTCACACGATCCACGTTTCTTGATAAGATCTGGTGGGTAGCCAAGGGAAGGAAAATAAGGAACAGTATCAACAAGGGCAGACTAGGTTTTAGGACTGATTGGACAGCAAAAAAAAAAAAAAACCCAAACAGATACAAATGCAAATAACTTTTTACAAGTTTAATACCTTATTATTATTATTATTATTATTATTATTATTATTTATATCGATGCATTATACCATGCTTCGAATACACTGACAATTCTCTTTGCTCTTCACTGCATCCTTCTTAAAATGCTGCAGAGTAATATGACAAAACAAAAGAAGTATTTAATTGAAACGAGGGTTTTTCCTGATTAGGGAGCCCAATGAATCCAAACATTCAACAATGAATCTAACATTCCTATTCAGCATAAGCTTCTACAGGGTTGGGCAAGTGACATCATGTATCTCTGGATGTCATCATCCCAATCACGCAGACGATGTGATTTGCATGACATCATAGCTCAGGTAACATCCTCTGATATCATTGTGGTTTCTCACTGATATCAATGCTACTAAGCCTCCTCCCTGTGTGTTCAGCATCTAATAGCTGTAACAACCTATCTTGAGAACTTGAATGTCCTTTATCTCGTAGCACACGCAGATGTGGCACTTATCAAAGAATGAACAAACAGGGTTATGGAGTTCTGGGGTCAATGGGGCTTAGCAACTGACATACCTTCTTGGAAAACTTGCGGTTGTCTTCTAAAAATCTCCTCTCGCGTGGAGAAAAGGTTCTAAGGCTTGCTTTTACCTGAAATAAAGTAGCAAGAGCCACACAACATCAAGGTTCAGAGCTCCATTTAGCATTCAAGCATTACCCCACAACACTGACAAGTTTACGCCTAGATATCTTCTGCTAATAGTCCTTTTGTCCAAATAGTCCACTACAGTTGGAACCTCCCTTGTTAAACTCTTCTTCAGTCTTGGACAAAAGGTCACTCAGAAACATACCGACACTCATAAAGAGGTAATTCAGAATCAGGATAAACCATGGTTTATGGAATGGGCTGCTGCAGGTCTTGGGCTCATGCAAACCCTATTCTGAACAATGCAGCCAAGAATCAAGGAAGAGAAGCATTTATTTCCACTTTTCATGAACCCTATTATTTATTTATTTATGTAAATTTCTTGGCCACCAAACTCCAGTGGACTTTAGTAGATATACAAAGGAATTGTATATCTGATTTCTAAGCCATGGTTAACCTTTACAACAGTTTGTTGAAACAAGTCAGCTTCATAAGTGATGTTTTCATATATTTCATTGGAAGACAGCATTCAACCACTCAGACTCCCTCCAGAGCACTGCAATTTCCAAAATGCACAACCAGCATTCTTTGCTGGCTCAGAATTATGGAAGTTGTCATCCCAGCACACTTCTAGGGTGCCAAGGTGGGGAAGGCTAACATCAGATCATCTTACCCCCACTCCTCTCAAGACCATAGACTTACAGGATTAAACAGGACTTCCATCTCCAAGTGGACCATGCCTTTCGATGCGACTTCCAGATCTTTATTCTTTAACACATAGCAACTTTGCTGCCCATTTTTAATCTGTGAGTAAAAAATAAAGAAAAGGGTCAATATATCACCGCTGTGAAGCTATTTTCATAGTTTTAAATGCATTTGCACTACTAACATCAAGTCAAGCTTGGTTTGGAGGCTTGCTTTCAGCTGGAGGCAACATTGAAGTCCACACACACATACAAGCTGCCCTGAAAAGACAGGTTCGTTATTTTATTTTATTTTATTTTATTTTATTTTATTTTATTTTATTTATTGAATGTGTCGCCCGCCCATCTCCCCCCAATGGGGGACTCTGGGCGGCTGACAAACAATGTTTTATTATTTTATTTTATTTTATAATATGTTATTATTTTATTTTACTTTTTAGTTCACATTTATAATGTGCCTCTCTGCGACTATTTTCCTACAATGAAAAGAACGCACCCAACCTCAGACCTAAACCTGCATGTTCTGTTCCAGCATCTAGCCAGCTTTGCTTCCCTCCTCAAGATCGCGTTCTCCAGGAATGCTGTTGTCTGTTCAAGGGCCTCGTCTGCCTCTGTGTGGCACATTGAGGGCGGCAGTTCAGACTTGGGTTGGGGCTAGGGCCCATTTTGAGAAAGGGGGTCACCAGTTCATAAGGGTGGAATAGGTGCTTTATGTATCTCAAGAAGATGCTCCTATTTTGCCCCTGAGCTCCCACCCTACGCCAAACAGAGCCCCGTTTTCAAATTAGACCATACCAGGGGACTCATCGCTTTTCACATCACAAAATTGTGGACTAAAGCAACCCAGATAGCATAAATGAGTCAAGGAAAATGGGGGGTGGGGGGGAAATTATTATTATTTTGTTTTACTGTAGTTAAGCTAAAATGAACAAAATCCAGTCAGAAAACAAAACCCGTCCAGGAAGCCCAACAGCCAGCAGGAAATCATTAGTTGCTGCTATTTACAATTTTAAACAGCTCTTTTCCCATGCTGGCTGGGGAATTCTGGGAGTTGAAGTCCACTCATCGTAAAGTGGCCAAGTTTGGACAACACTGGTTTAGAAGAAGATGAAAACTCCTTGCAAATGAACAGAATTACTATAGTTTCTTACCCGTCATGGAACTGTGTAAACTCAGGTAGTCATGACTATACCAGCGAGAGTGCTGTTCCATCTCACGACCTCCTTTCTTAAATCTTAACGAGGCTTTTGTGAGCGCATCTTAAAATGTGGCTGCAATTTCAAAATCATCTTTGAGTGTTTTGTTCTGCCAAAGATGATTTTCCTCCCCGTTCTGTGACAGCTTTCATGTTACGTTACTTTGAATTGAGTTATTTCCCATCCTAAAGGCAGAGCTGGGGGTGGGAAGCAGTGGGCAGGGTGGGGGGGAGGCAAAGGAGAAGCCAAATGTGTCATCAATCCTTATTG